GTCCCATGGCCAAGCCCCCACTGGGTGTTCGCTGGGTGTTCATTGGGTGTTTTCTAGGTGTTCATTGGGTGTTTGTTGGGTGTTCATTGGGTGTTTGCTGAGTGTTTGTTGGGTGTTCATTGGGTGTTTTCTAGGTGTTCATTGGGTGTTTGTTGGGTGTTTGTTGGGTGTTCATTGGGTGTTTGCTGAGTGTTTGTTGGGTGTTCATTGGGTGTTTTCTAGGTGTTCATTGGCTGTTTGTTGGGTGTTCATTGGGTGTTTGCTGAGTGTTGGGTGTTCACTGGGTGCTTTCTAGGTGTTCATTGGGTGTTTGTTGGGTGTTTGCTGGGTGTTCATTGGGTGTTTTCTAGGTGTTCATTGGGTGTTTGTTGGGTGTTTGCTGGGTGTTCATTGGGTGTTTGTTGGGTGTTCATTGGGTGTTTTCTAGGTGTTCATTGGTTGTTTGTTGGGTGTTTCCTAGGTGTTTGTTGGGTATTCATTGGGTGTTTTCTAGGTGTTCATTGGGTGTTTGTTGGGTGTTTTCTAGGTGTTCATTGGGTGTTTGTTGGGTGTTTCCTAGGTGTTTGTTGGGTGTTCATTGGGTATTTTCTAGGTGTTCATTGGGTGTTTGCTGGGTGTTTGTTGGGTGTTTTCTAGGTGATCATTGGGTGTTTTCTAGGTGTTTGCTGGGTGTTCATTGGGTGTTTTCTAGGTGATCACTGGGTATTCATTTGTTTTCCAGGTGTTTGCTGGGTGTTTTCTAGGTGTTGGGTGTTTTCTAGGTGATCGTTGGGTGTTTTCTAGGTGTTTCTTGGGTGTTTGTTGGGTGTTTGCTGGTGTTTCCTGGGTGTTTGCTCAGTACTTGCCAGGGGTTTGCCAGGGGTTTGCTGGTTGTTTGCCCAGTGCACATTGGGTGTTTGTTGTGTGCTCGCTGGGTGTTTGCTTGGTGTTTGCCAGGCGTTTGCTGGGTGTTTGGTTGGTGTTTGACAGGTGTTTGGTTGGTGTTTGCTGGGTGTTCGGTTGGTGTTTGGTTGGTGTCTGGTTGGTGTTTGCTGGGTGTTCGGTTGGTGTTTGGTTGGTGTCTGGTTGGTGTTTGCTGGGTGTTTGGTTGGTGTTTGGTTGGTGTCTGGTTGGTGTTTGCTGGGTGTTTGGTTGGTGTTTGGTTGGTGTCTGGTTGGTGTTTGCTGGGTGTTCGGTTGGTGTTTGGTTGGAGCTTGGTTGGTGTTTGCTGGGTGCTTGCCAGGTGTTTGGTTGGTGTTTGGTTGGTGTTTGCCAGGTGTTTGCCAGGTGTTTGGTTGGTGTTTGCCGGGTGTTTCGTTGGTGTTTGCCGGGTGTTTTGTTGGTGTTTGCCAGGTGTTTGGTTGGTGTTTGCCAGGTGTTTGCCAGGTGTTTGGTTGGTGTTTGCTGGGTGTTTGGTTGGTGTTTGCCGGGTGTTTGGTTGGTGTTTGCCAGGTTTTTGCCAGGTGTTTGCCAGGTGTTTGGTTGGTGTTTGCCAGGTGTTTCGTTGGTGTTTGCTGGGTGTTTCGTTGGTGTTTGCCAGGTGTTTGGTTGGTGTTTGCCAGGTGTTTACCAGGTGTTTGGTTGGTGTTTGCCGGGTGTTTCGTCGGTGTTTGCCAGGTGTTTCTGTACTCACAGGGCACTCACTCCCATGCCAGGAGCTGAAGCCCTGCACGTCCGAGGCCAGGTCACAGTCACTGCCCTGGGGGCAGCAGCACGGCAGGGACGCGCTGGGAGCCTGCACTCACTCCTGTGCCTGCGCATCTCTGTGTGCACAACCGCAGCCCCCCCGTGCCCAGCCCCTGCACACCGCACTGTGAGCACCCTGTGCCTGTGCCAGCACCGCCCCACACCCGCAGGGTGACACCCATCCTGCCCCCAAACCTCACCGAAGGCGCGACGCTGGCGCTGCCGGATTGCTCCATACTGGGAGGACCCGGATGAGCGTGGGCCAGGCCCTGCCGCAGGGAGTAAGGGGGGGGGAGCGTTGGTGCTGGGGGGCAGTGAGGAGGAGGAGGAGCAGGATGGGAGCATGGGCTGGGCACTGAGTGGGGCTCTGCCGGTCCCCCCCCCTTTATCACCAGCATCTGCGGGCCCCGGGCGCGGTGATGTCAGCCCAGTGGCATGGCACCATGCGGCACCCCGCGTCCCAGCTTGCCTCCCGCCACGCTGCAGACACCTCCTGTGGGCACCATGCCGTGCCATGCCGTGCTTTGGGAGCAGGCCTGTCCCATGCACAGCTCAACCCCATCCCCACTGCTCCCCCAGCCCCCTGGGTGCTCCCCAAACCCCAAGCCAAGGCCATGGCGTGGGAGCAGATGTTGGGACCCCCAGGCTGGGCTGAGGGGCTCAGGGTCCCCATGGGACCACTTGCATCACGGTCATTTCATGTGTTCCCCCCCCATGCGCATGCCAGCAGCCAGGCATGAGCGTGCACACACGCGTGTGTGTGTGTGTGTCCCACACGTGCTCAGCCGGGCAGCCATTGCCTTAAAAGGCCTCCATCGTCCGCTCCGGCAGCGCCGGCTCCTCTTCCCGTTGCCAAATTTGGCTCTGGTGGCACGGGCCGGGGCTGTCGGGGCCTGGCCCTGCTCTCCCCGAAGTGACGTCAAGCAGGGGTGTCCGTGCGGCACGAGTCACCGCATCACCGCAGCCACCGGAGCCGCTTCCTCTCCCAACCCCGGCTTCCTCCGGTGCTCGGCTGCCTCTGGGGGCTCAGGGCCCAGTGAGGCCCCCCCCCGGGTGCTCTGCCATGGGATGAGGCATCAGCCCCAGCTGGGCAATCCCAGCCTGTCCATGGGGTGCTGGGTCCACCCATGGGGTTCTGGTTTGGCACCATCCTCCCTGGCTCCATCCTAGCCAAATCCTGGGGGGTGAACGTGGTAAAGAGGATGCACACAGCCACTCCTGCCCCCTCCCCAGGGAACTCCCCAAAGCTCAGCCCCCTGCACCCAGGACCAGCGGGTGCTGGTGCCCCCCATATTTGGCACAGCCCTGGCACCACGCAGCCACCAACACCCTGAGTCCCACCGAGGTCTGAAGGGGCCGTAGGCTCCCATGGGTGGGATGGTGCTGATGCACATCCCCGGTGTCATCCACACCTCGCCACCTGCCCAAGGGACACCAACCTGCGGGTGGGGAAACTGAGGCACAGCCGTGCCCGGCCCCATGGATCGAACCAGAGTGTCAGGGTGGCAACGGGACCGTGGGCACCCACCCTCAGCTCTGCCCCACGGTGACGCAGGAGGGAGGGCGGCAGAGCCTGCACCCAGCCGGGCTGGTGGAACTGGCCCAGCTCCCCCAGGCAGCAGGATGGGACCGGGTGCACCCGGTCAGGTGAGCACCACACACAGGCTGTGGTCTGGAAACACCGGCCCTGGCACATCCCACAGCGGGTCCCCAGCCCCAAACCCTTCCTAGGGGGTGGTGGTGGGGGACCAGGGAGCTCCATCACCCCCCATCATGCTTCCAGGCTGCTCTTGCTCTGGTGTGAGCAGAGCCGTACACACACACGTGCAACCGTGCAGCGCTGAGCACATCTGCATGGCTCTGCATGCACATACAGATGTGCACAGCTGAACGTGTGCATGGGCTACCAGGCAGTGGCCAAGGCCAGGTTGGACAGAGCCCTTGGGTGACATGGTGTGAGGTGCCCTTACCCATGGCAGGGGCTTGGAACTGGATGAACTCAAGGTCCTTTCCCCCCCAAACCCTCCCGTGGCTCTATGTGTGTGCACATACAACGTGCTGACCATGTCCCTGTGTGCACACACATGCCGAACACGCCACGGTGCAGCCTCGGTGCATCCAGAACTGCCCAAATTTATTTCAAAAATAAAAAATAAAATATTAAAGACCGGAAACCTCGCTCTCCCCCTCCCCCACCCCCCAAAAAAACACACACAAAAAAAAGAAAAAAAAAAAAAAAAAAAGACTTTTACAGACAAAAAAACACAGCACGGGGGTTCTCTATTTGCACAGATCTCCTGACGAGGGGACAAAAAAAAATCAAGGTTGGACAAGAAAAAGGATTTCTACGGCCTATGCAAGACTATGTCAGTATTGGCTCAGTCGGGTAAGTAATGTCTATAAATATCAGCCCCGAGCGCTGGGCTTGCTCAGTCCTTACTTCTCCATCCCTTTGCTTCTCTTTTTTAAGTTAAACCCCCCCAGATCCAAGGAGCGCGGAGGCCGCGGGACGAGCCCAGCGCCTCGGGAGTTGGTCTCGGCCGCGGAGGGAAGCGCCGCTTCTTCCCCCTCCGAAAACAAAGTGAGAACCCAGCCCAAAACAAAGCCCTCCCCCCGCCCCCCCCCCTCCTCCCCACCCTTGGATTCCCCCCCCCCCCATCCCCCAACCCGGCTCCAAATCCCCCCCCCACAACCCCCTCCCCAAGGCTGCGGCACAGGGCTGGCAGCGCCCAGGCACACGCGTGTGTCCCGTTCCCCCCCCCCAGCCGCGCGGGGTGGGGGGGGCCCAGCCCCATAGCCGAGCAATGCTACATATAGAAGGGAAGGAAAACAAACGGCCCCCAAACCCGGGGGGGGGGGCTCAGCACCTCCAAGAGAGACTTCATCTCCTCCTGCCTGCATCAGGGGCAGGGGGACACGTTGGGGGGGGGGGGGGGGGGGAGCGGAGCCCACCCCACTGCATCCCTCTTCACAGCAAAGCAGCAGCTTTGATATCCCCCAAGGACCACCACCCCCCCCCCGGGGGCCAGGACCCCCTGCTCCCTGCCGGGGAGGATGCGGGATGAGGCAGCGGCTCCTGCCTGCACCCCCCTCATCTCCCCATCCCCAGCCGAGCGAGGGGGGTGAGGCTGCCCTAGACACCCCCCCCTTGCCCCCAACCAACAATGAAACGCTTCCCTGGCACAGGCAGGCTCAGCCCCGAGGCATCCGGTCGCAGGAGATGGCAAATCTAGAGGAGATCTGGCCCATGCCAACAGAAATGACACCACCGCCGGCCGGGGGGGGGGGGCAGCGGGAGCATCCTCCTCCCCCCCCCCCCCCCCCCCCAACACCCCATCCCCGGCAGAGTCCGCGGCCCCGGGGCCCCCCCCCGGGGTAGGGCTCTATGCTACGACAAACTCTGATTTCATGTCTGCCTTGACCTCGGGCTTCCACACCGAGTCCTCGAAGTCCAGGTCCAGGCTGCCCTCGCTGGAGACGCTGCTGTTGCTGTTGGTGCGGCTGGACTTGCGGTTGGGCAGCCAGTGGTAGGGGGCCCGCGCGTCCCTCCGCGCCTTCCTGCGCAGCCGCTTCTGCTGCATGAGCAGCTGCAGCCGCTCCACCTTGCAGCGCGTCGCCCGGTTCTCCGTCTGCCGCAAGCGGTCCCCTGCAACGCCACAGAGGAGGTTGTTATGGGGGGGGGGCTGCCCTGCACCCCGAAACCCTATGGATGCACACACACACCCCTCGCCCTAGAGCAGGGTCCTAACCCAAGCCCATAGGATGGGCAGCACCAGGCTGGTCCCCCATGGGGAGAAGCCCCTCTGCGTGGTGCTGTGCCAAGGGAGTGGGGGGGCTTTCCCTGCAGCACAGCAGCCGGTGCAGGCCTGGCCCCGCTCTGCCGTGTGGGAGGACGAGCAATTGAAGCTCCAAGCGTGGGCTCCGGTGCTGGGGAAAAGAGGGAAAAAAAGGGACCCTGCTCCAGAATAAACTTGGCCGGGAGAGCCCCCGAATGCTGCGGATGCTCCAGCATCACCCTCCAGGGCCGTGGGTGGGAACACGCCAAAGGAAGAGCGGGGCACAGGGGGACAACCCCTCTCTAAGGGCAAACAATTCCACCCCAGAGCGGCCAGAGGAGGGTCCTGGTGCAGCAGAGCCACTGGTGGGAGGCTTGCGGGCATCTCTTCCCCATCCTGGAGCCAAGGGGGCCCGAGGGGCTCTGGCCAAGTGGGGTGAGCCCAGCCAGGACTTGTCCCAGTGGAGGGGGAGCAGGTTCCCCCCCACTCACGCCATGGGATACAGCTCCGGCCAGGCCACCAGGAGCTGGTCCAGAGCCACCCCCAGGGGGGAGCCTGGACCCCTCTTGGCCAGGAGAGAAGGGAGAGAAAACGCTGAGGGGAGGACAAACCCCAGCCCCAACACCAGCGATTGCACCCCAGGACCCCTAAACCCATCCTCGGGCAATGGGCTTGCAAATAGGGGTGGTCCAGGAGCCAGAGCCCGGGTGCCCCCCCCCCAAACCCTCAGACCCTGCAGACCCCCACCCTGGCTGGTGCCTTCAATCAGCAGTGCAAGGAGCAGCCAACAGCCAGGGTCAAACACACAACCCCATTGAGGCTGTTATGGGGTGATGCCACGCAAAGGGGGGGCAGCTTGGGGTGGGGGGGGGCCTGCAGGGGCTCCTGAGCCCATCCCAGCCACCAAGCCCTATGGACAGCAGCCCCATCCCACACAAGGCACGGAGCAGGCGGGCTCACCGCTGGGCTTGCACATCCGGATCTGGCTTTGGCACTGGACGACGGGGTGCAGGGGTGGGGATGCTGCGGCCGCCGGCAGCGGCTCTGAGGTAGTTTTGGTGGCGAGGTCCGGGGAGGCTGGTGGCGAGGAGGAGGACGAGGAGGAGGACGAGGAGGATGAGGAGAACTGCGTCTGGCAGCGGAGCTGCGTCAGGGACTGGGGCATGCCCTGGTAGTGTCGCGTGGCGCTGAGGAGGTCGTTCAGGATCTGCAGGATGGTGCCGATGTCCCTCCGCGGCCGCCCGCTGCTGTCCTGGCAGTTGGGGTGCAAAGTGCCTGCAGGTGGGAAGGGGGGGGATATGAGACAAGCCCCAAGGACCGCGGTGCCCCCCCCCCTTGCCCAGACCCACAGCCCCATCCCAGATGGGCTCAGCACCACGCACCGGAGAAGGTCCCTGAGAAGACCCCAGGCGCGTGGTTGACGAAGCTCTCGATGACGGCACCGGGTTTGCGGGACCGGGCGGCGGGCGCGGGGCTGCTGCCCGGGGAGCTGCTGCTGCGGGTGCCGCACTCCACCTGCACGCATGGGAGACACCGGGTCAGCCTCTGGGCGCGGGATGGGACGACACAGCCCCACAACACAAGCCCCTTCTGCCCCACACCCCCAACGGGCAGAGTGACCCCATAGCAGGCAAGGAGCAGCAGGTCCAGCAGGCACCACCAGCCCCGGTTTTACTGGAGCACAAGGAACTACGGTTATCCCACCCCTCCATGCATTGTGGAGTCACCCCCATCAGCCAGCTGTGCTGTGCAAGGGGAAAAGGGAAGCAGGAGCAGAGAACGGTGTGTGAAGATGAGCAGAGGAAGAGCCTGGATCCCACCCTGTCCCTGAGCCCTTAACCAGGACATGGGAGCGTTTTGCAGCCCCTGATTCCAAGCATGGGGAAACCGAGGCAGGGAAAGGCATCACCACAGCGGTGCCAGGCTGCCCAGCTTTGCTCCCCTACCCCGAAGGCACCAAGAGCCCTCCGTAAAGAAACCTCACCTCTGAGCAGGAGGAGACCACGCTGCTGTTCACCGTCTGCGTGCTGGCCCCGTGCGACCGGAACATCCCGGCGGTGACGGGGGCGGCGTGGGGGGTGTTACAGTACATGGGGGGGGCCGGCGCGGCAGGCGCGGGGCTGGGGGCCGGGCTCTGCTGGCACGAGGCGGGCACCACGGGGATGCGGGTGAAGCCGGAGCCGGCGCCGCCGTGCAGCGTCCGGCAGTGGGGGCTGGCGGCGGCCCCCGCCTCGCCACGGCTGGCGATGAGGTGCCGGTGCTGGAGCTGCCCGCTGCTCTGCTGAGCCGCCAGCTGGAGCTGCACGAACATCATGTGGTCCCCCACGCGCAGGGCCAGGGTCAGCGGGGACCGGCCCGACAAGAAGTCGTTGACCTGGGGAGAGAAGGACCCCCGTCAGCTCCGGTGTTGCGCAGTGAACCCATGGCACGGCCCCCCCCGCCCCACATCCCACATCCCACAGGGATGGGTCTTTAGGGCAGCAAAGGGGTGATCCTCTTCCCACAGCCCTTCCCCGAGCCCGGCAAGCCCGGCCGCTGTCCCGGCATGACCCCAGCGCGGTGCCAGCTCCATCAGCTGATGATGCCGGGAAGGGGGGGGATTTTTCCCCTCCTGCCCTTTATCTCCCAGCACAAAGCACCCCGTGCCCCCCCCAGTGAGGCCGCTGCAGGCAGGAGCACTGTCCCAGCCAGCCCAGAGCCCGTGGGGGGCAGCTGCACCCCCGGCACAGCGAACAAGCTCCGTGCAGGAAGGATGGGGAGGGAGCAGGCGAGGACATGCCGGGTCCGGGCTGTGCCCACTGCCATGCCTTGGGGCTATGAGGCAGGAAAGGCAGGGGAGGGCAGTACACATCCCCCCCTCCACGTTCTCCCCCCGGGGCAGACCCAGTGGAGCGGCTGCAAGGGCAGGATTTGCCCCTGCCCACCCCGGAGGCCTCATCATCCTCACAGGCAGGTGATGGAGCAGCTGCAGCACGGAGACAAAAGCAGGGCCGTGACCCTGCCCAGGTCGCAGCTGCAGAGGGGGGGGCCCCAATCCCCAACACCTGCTCCTTCCCCCCCCCCCCAGTGGGCATAAATCACTCGACATCTGTGCCAGGGAACAGGGGAGCCCCCCCCCCCCCCCCAAGATGCTGCGGTGGGGAGGGGGCTGCACGGCTCACACACAGGCAGGGCTGTGGCAGGACACTGGGTCACCACTAATGGGGATGACGCCACCGCACCCCCCGCCCCATTCCAGGGCGCAGCAGGCACCGGCTTCCCCAGCCCATCGCGGGCACGGCTCCGGCACACGTCACCCGCCCCCAGCCCATCGGCACCCTGGGATGAAGCCCAAGCGGAACCAACACCCCCCTGACCCCCATCGCCTCTTCCCTGCCCCCTTGCAGAGCTCAGCACCCCCCCCCCCCGATCCCGGCTCCTCCGCACCCGCTCCGGTGGAGGCCGGTTCTGAGCAGCCGTGGGAAAAGCAGCTTTAAAAATACCCTGAGCAAAGCCCCAAGCGGGGGCCGCGGAGGAAGGGGTTGGGGGTGGGAAGGAGCCGCGGCCGCTCCGGACACGGGGGTTATGGGGCGAGGGAGCCCCAGCGGCAGCAGGGTAGCGGCGCCACAGCCCCCATCCTGCCCCACCGGTCACGCTCTGCCTCGGGTGCTCTGCCCGCAGCCCACGCACTCAGCCGCGACCGCCTCAGCATCACCTCAAGGGCTCTCAGCATCCCCAGGGCACCCGCATGGAGCCCCCCATGGGTGCGGAAGGGGCGCAGGATGGGCACGGCAGCTCCCATCCTTCCCCCTGCAGGGACCCCAAGTGGGGTCTCATAGCCCCACCCCGGGTTCCGTCCCACACGGAGGTGCAGGAGCACCCACACCAGCCTCAGCACCGACCCCAGCACCGGCTGCCCTCGCTCGGTACCGGAGCTGCCTGGGGGAGCCCCGAGCACTTCCCGGGGCCCCCTGACGTCAGCCAGCGCCGGGGCTGCCTCCCTGCTCCATCTGACTCACACCTGCCTGCGCCCTGCTTGACCCCTCGCCAGCATCAGGAAGAGCCAGAGCACCCCAAGCCCACACTTCCCAGCAGCACCATAAAGATCCCCAGCAGCAGGGTCACACAGACACCCCCCCCACCCCCCCCAAATCCCTCCTCAGCTCCCCATAGGCAGGAGCCGGTTTGGCCCCTGCAGCCCTCCAGGGCTCCCAGCACCCACCCCACACCGCTGCCAACCGCTCCCCCCCAGCGAAACCCGGCCGCTCCAATGCAAACACGTCCCACCCAGCGCCTGCTCGGCCGCCCACAGCTGCCCGGGGAGGACCCGGTCCCTGCCAGCCTGCTCTGCCATGGGGACCGCCCTGCGAGATGCCTTGGGCCCCCCCCAAAGCTTCCATGGCCGGGGGTCCCCCAGGACCCTGGCAAGCCCTGGAAGCAGGGGCGGGGGGGGGATGTGGCTGCACCGCACCGGGCTCAGGGCCCACAGGAATGGGGCAAGTGCCTCCCTCCCGGCTGCTTCTGAGAAACGCGGATGACTCAGGGAACGCCGCATTCCTGCCTCGCTCCAACGCCTGGCCCCGCGTCACCCCCAGCCTCAGACACCCCCGGCCCCCCCAAGCCCCTGCTGGCACCCCCCAAAAACACAGGCAAACGGTCCTGCTCCAGCTCCTTACAGATGTGGAGGGGGAAGTCAAACCCAGACAGAGCATGAGGGGGGAGCAGGAAATGCCCCCCCCCCCGGCATCCTCTTGCACTCTCCAGCTGGACACAGCTGTGGCTGACAACTGGGTCCCAACACCCAGACACCCGTGCTTGGGGGGAGCTACTCCATGCCAAGGAGAGAAGGGGCCGGAGCGGCCCTGCCACATCCTACGGCTGGGCAGGACGTGTGTCCGTGTGTGTCCCCCCAAATCAGGCAGAGGGAGCAGGGGAAGGAAGCGCTGAGGCTGCAGGATCCAGCGCCGGCTCCGGGCACGGCTCCGAGCGTGCCCAGCGGAAGGAAGCGCACGGAGCCCTTCCAGGAAGCCCCCAACCCGCCCGGACCGGACAGGGTGGGAGGGGGGGCACAGCATCCCCATCACCTCCTCCCTGCCCGGCAGCCGCTTCCCCATAAGCACCAGGGTGGGGAGGAGGTGGCAGCGCCCCGGCCCCCCCGCCGCCCCCAGAGGAAGCCGGCGCAGCTCCCCCTGCGCTGCCGGAGGATGCAGGAGGATGCAGGAGGATGCATGACGCAGGCAGCGCCGAGCAAAGCATGAATGAGAGGAGTGGTTTCCTGTCCCCCCCCCCCGCCCCCCAGGTGCTGGCGGTTCCTCCTGCACAGCCCCAGCTTCCTGAATCACCCGCCCAGGAGGAACCTGCAGTGGGCAGGAGGCACAGAGCCACTTCCCGCAGCAAACCCGGGCTGCCAGGCCCCCAGCCCAGCCCCGAGGGGAAAACCAGGCTGCAGGGCCCCCGGGGGCCCGCAGCCTGCAGCCCACAGACCTCCCCTCTGCTGCGCTTGCCCTAATGGGAGCCTTGCTGGCCATTACGAGCCCCAACAGATGCAAAGGGTTCCCCCAAAGCCCCTCTGCACCGGGCAGCTCCATGAGTGCCCTGGCCCTGCTGCTGCTCCCCAGGACATCCCACCCCACTGGGGGGGGGCTGCAGCTGTTGCAGCCCTGAGGCCAGGATATGCATTGGGACCCCAGGACCCCTTCCATAGCTCTGCACCCCAGTGGGGATGGGCAGCACCCCCTGAGCAAACCGGGCTCCATGGGGAGGGGGAAAGGCAGAGGCCAGAGCTGGCCCAGGACTCCAGGTCCGAGCTCAACCCCTTGGTCCACAATGGGTTAAAGCAGCTGCCAAAGTCAAGGTCACCCCGGGCAGCCAAGGGCACCCGGGGCAACCAAGGGCTTCTAGGAGCAGAGCAGCCCTGGCCCTTGCCATGTGCCCACGGGGGCACAGTCATGCCCCTACCAAGCCCCCCCCTTGTCTGGCCCTGGGGCAGGCAGGGCTCAGCCCCGGCTCCAAATGCAGCGAAGCAGGTTAAAACAACCCCGTCATTAAGGCAGGGAAGCTGCAGCCTCGGCCAGAAAGGAAGGAACGAGTTCACCAGCAAGCAGAGAGAGATGGAAAACAAAGGAGCCAGGGCCTGCGCGGCTGGGGGTAAATTCCACCTTCGCGGCAGGCAGCTGGCGCCTGCGCACGCACCCAGCCCTGGGAACGCTTCCTCCCCGCAGGGACCCCCCTCCACGACACCTCCCGCAGCCACCAAGGAGCTTCCCAGCTCTTCTAAACACGGCCCCCACCCGCGCCCCCTCCTTGGCACCCAGCACAAGGCCACCGAGCATCAGAGCACCCCATCACGGCACGGCCGCCCCCCCACCAACCAAGGACGGCTCCAAGGAGAGGGGGAACAGCCCCCTTTTGGGTGCTGGGAGGAGAATCCAGGCTCTGCAGCCCCACGAAGCCCCCCGGCGCAACCCAGCTGTCCCCCCCCCCCCCTTCAACGCTGCCATGGGGCAGGCAGCACACCCGGCTCTGCAATGGGGGGGGGGCTGCAGCCCCACAGCCGGGAGCAGGGCCCTGTGCTGCCGACCTGCTCCGTGACCTTGAATGAGTCACTTCACCTCCCAGCGCCGCTGCCCTCCCCAGCTCCCGGCTTGTTTGGGCTGCGAGCGCTGCGGCGTGGGGCCTCCCTGCGCTCAGCGCTGCACAGGATGACGGTGCCCGCCCCGGGCACCACCCTCAGCGCTCCCAACCCCTGCTGAAGGTGAAACCTAAGAGACCAAGCACCGAGCACCAAAGCCTTTCGGGAAGGCGGTGGGGATGCCAAGC